GGCACTGTCCACCCTCACTCGGGACTCCCACAGGCTCAGGGCTGCAGGTCCCTCCTACTCTGCTCTGCCTCACCACTCCTTCACTCACCCCCCAAGTTTTCCCGTGAAATTGGAGACAAGTTCAACTGACTGCGACCTCTCCTAATTAGAGCCCTCCAATCCACTCTAAGATGGCCAGCTCAATTCATCCTCACCCCCCCCCCCACTCGCCTGGGAATGAAAAAAAAAAAAAAAAGGCAAACCACCCCGCCCAGACACTCTGATCTGAGGTGGGAATGCGTGTCGCCAATCGGGAGTCTGCATAATGTCCATTGCTCAACTCCTTTTGCGCTCCTGTCGCCTGCGCAATAAGCTCCTCGCCGTCCATCCGTGCGGCCCTTGAGGACCACAAGGTCGCACCTGTCAGGCCAGGCCCCGAGCGCGCCCCCCGGCACAGCGCCGACCCCGAGCGCGTCCTCGAGCGCGCACGCCCCCCCCCCGGAACGTCCACTCGGGCCGGGGCGTCGCGGCGCTCTGACGCAGCGACCCGCGGACGCCCCTGCACGGTGCGGCCTCTCTAGCGGGCGGCGGAGGGCTCGTCTCGGTGTCCTTAACCCTCCCGCGCCCCGCGCCGCGCTGCGTCCCCAGCGCCGAGGAGGCGGCGGCGCCGGGGCGGACGGCGGAGCTGCTCCTGAGGAAACGCGCGTGAGAGAGCCCGAGCCGGAGGCCCAGAGAGCGTGGGCGCGAGGGAGACGGAGGCCGTTGGAGGCCGAGGGACCGAGAGAGAAGGGGCGGGGGGAGAGGGACGGAGAGAGACAGGGGAGCCTGAGCGCCGCAGAGATGGAGCCCGGGGAGACGCGCGGCCGAGACTGGGAGAGCCAGAGGGAGAGGGAGAGACAGGAGCGGGTGGGAGAGACGCGCGGAGGCCCAGACCGCATGCCAACCCAAGACACGCAGACAGCGAGAATCTTCTAGAACAGGCAGGTGTGCCCTGGTGTCGGGGCCCAGGGAGCCTCCGAGGGCCCCCGGAGAAGGAGCGTTCCAAGGCCACAGTGACCGCCTTTCCGGGGCGCCCACCTGCTGCAAGGCGGAATGGCGCTTGGACAGTGCCCTCGCGGCGCATCTGCCTCTAGCCGGGGCTGGCCCTGGTTAACCTACTAGCGGCCCTGAAACATCCCCGGGCAGTGCTGAGCACAGGGAGGGAACTGGCGGGAAGCAGTGAGCAACAGGTGCAGACTCCTGTTGCCTGGGCTCCCACTCCCCTTCTAAGTCAGAGCCCCTGCTGGGATTGCAAGGCAAACCGCACTTCCAGTGGGGAAGCCTCCAGGGGAGAGAGCCTTAGAGAGATGCGCCCGCCCTCAGGTGACAGCAGGTCTGGGTTCAGAGGGCTGTGTTAGCTGTATTACAATGCAGTTTCTTACAGTGTTCTTGGTGGAACCTGGGGACAGCATGTAGGCAAGAAGGCACCCCCTTCTCTGGTTTGAGGGCAGTCCACCTGGAGGGGTCAGCCATTTGGGGGCGGAATCTCCGTTTTGGTGTCCTATACTCTGTCCCTGCAGTACCAGCTCCATGGGTGTGTACTCTCGTGCATGTGTGTGGCCCTCATCGATTCTTTGTTGAAACAGGAAAACTCAGTGGCCTGGCTTGACTGAGCCCTTGTGGTTGCAGCCGAAGGAGAGAGGGGGAAGGAGGGTGTGGGTGTGTTAAGAAACCCGAGTTCAGCAGCTCTCTGTGCAAGGGGCGTGACGTTTACGGCCAGTGTCTTGCCGTTTGCTTGCTTTTTGGTGAACAAGGTGTGTGGGGCAGCATTCGCTTTGCTGTTTCCACTTCAGTGTGGATGACCCTTAAAGGGAAGCTGAGCTGGGGGAAGGGCTGTTAAGCTGTGATCGCATCCTTTACCCAGCAGGAGGGTGCAGTGCACTGGTGAACATGACGTGATGTTGGGTTGGGGCTGGACAATCCTGCTGCAAGGAACCTCGTGTTCTCAGAAGTCGGCTTACCACAGTGGAAAGTGCCCTGCGTTTGTCCCATGCTGAGAATATGAAGGGAAGGAGACCCAAGGGGTGAGAACCCAAGGTGGATGTGGGTGACGTCGGGGAACAGTGTGAAAGGCAGAGGTCACTGCAGTGAAGCAAACCGCGCCTTTTTTTATTTCAGGGTGCCCAAGTGAGAGCCGGTCTCCTGCACTGCTGAGCTGTGCAGCCAGAGGGAGCTGCTGAGGCTCTCTGCTCCCCAGTCCTCTGCTCTGCAGGTGCGGATGACCACACACCTTGTGAAGAGGCCATGCCCTACCACCCGGGCTGCGGGGTGCTCCTCTGTGTCCCCAGCACCCACACACTTCCACCGGCCCTGGCCAGTGACCTGGGGTGGCTGGCGTCCTATTCAGTCTGGCACCTGGGCCCCACTGTGAACCCTTGGAGGCCGATTACCACACAGGAAAAGGCAGGTGGGCAAAACCTGTGGGCAAGCACAGCTCCTGGAGAGCCTGGTGTTCAGCAGGTGCCCAGACAGGGGGACTCCTAGGAGTGCTGGTGCTTGCACTGCCACAGGCGCAGGGCAGTGTGCCATCCCACCTCTTGCGTTCTGTGTGTTGAAAAGAATTCCCTGAGCATAAGCACGTACAGCAGCAGAGCTCGACGAAGGTTTTCAACTCTCTTCATCCTGACCCTGTCAGTACCACATCAAGCGGTGCAGCCCAGTTTGCCCTTCATTGGTGGTGTCTGGCTGTCATCACACCAGCTGGTTCTCAGCTGGTAAAGGAGGAAGGAGGGATGAGGCAGGACCTGCGCAAAGTGTGAGCCAGCAAGGTGTGGGGAACGTTGTATCTTCTGTCCCCTGTTCTGTGTGCCAGAGCCTGCGTTGTCTGGTGTCTGGTTTATCCCCTTTCACCCATGCTGGGGCCGCCTGTCAGTTCCTCTGATTCCTCCTTCCTCCGTGTTCAGTAGAGGAACACTGAGCAAGGCTTAGAGGGCTTAGAGGGCACACAGAGCCACGCATTCAGGGGACATCCCGGTGCTGCCGTGGACATCCTGGGGGCCAACATCAGAAGCACACAGGGGGTTAGCGCAGGGATCGGTGACCTGGGCCTAGTCCCCGTGAGCAGTGAACCCCCAGCAGGAGATGGTCTCCTCCTCCTGCTGCTGTTGCTTTGATTAGCCCTCCTCTTCCGTTCCTTCCCCCACTTCTCCTTTTGCTTCTGCGCGCTCTCTCTCCAAGACCACCTGCACAGATGGCCCTCATATAAGCACCATTTCCCATCTCCCCATTTTCTTCTTTCCACGCTCAGGTGGGTGTCCCGAGGGTCACGGCCTGCCAGGATGTTTTGTAGTGATGCTCCGGAAGCATCTCTGCTCTGTTCTGCACCCAGGAGGGTGGGGCTTTCAGGGGAGCCCTCCCACACACAGCACCCTTGGGAGGCAGGTGCAGGTCCAACTCTGGCTAACCTGCGAGGGATTGGTGGGGTGGCACAGGGCCTGCTTCTGCACTGGCGCTGTACTCAGCTCGGAAGCACAGTTTCTGGCCATCATTCAGTGTTTCCACTGTTTCAACTGCACTAAGTTCACGTTCTGGGGATATTTTACAACTTTTTGAAAAGCTGTAGGAAGTAGTATGTCACTGGTTTCAGTACCAAAGTACATGCAAGGCCCTTGATGGTGCTCAGCCCCCACTTCGTTTGCCTGGACGGCCTTAGCTATTGATGCTCGCGGTGCCCACCCTGGAGTGCGTGCCAGTGAGAGCTCTGAGCCTGTAGGCAGCATTGGTGGTGCAGAGACCAGAGCCTGGCCCTGATAAAGGCTCGTCAGTACTGCCTGTGTCCGTTTCCTGCTCTCAGCACCAGCACTGGCCAGCTCCCAGACCTTCCTGTCTGAACGGGATCCCTCAGACTTTGGGGAAGGCTGAGCATCTAACACTGCAGTGTGTGCGCCTAGAGCCTGGCTTGCCTGGGAGAGAATCTTCATGCTTTCTGTCTGTGCGACCGCAGGGTCACCTGCACCCTCTGCATGCAGGAATTTCCTCTGTGCAGTATGGGGAAAGCCAGATTCTGCAGGACTGAAGTGCTGAGTGGGGACTTGCTTACAGAGGGCCCAGATGGTGATTAGAGAGACCTTCGCCCTGAGCAACTCCCTGGGCTGCGCCTGTGCAAGAGCCCTTCTCTCCCCTCCAGTTAGCTGGGGAAAGCATTCCCTCTGTGTGACTGCGCTGGCAGGTGGGCAGGTCTCCCAGCTCATCGCCTCCTCAGTGGGCCACTCTGCTCACCGGGTCTGACATCCAGGGTGCATCTCTCCTGTCTGCCAGGGGCCTGTTCTGGGGTAATGTTGCGCTGTCTTCCGTTGTCCGCAAACCACAGATTGTGTGTGATCTGTTGATCCACAGTGGGACGGTGGTGTTGTCTCTGGTCCGGACACTCCTGAATAGGGTTCAGGCTATCTCTCCTGGAAGTTTTCGTGTGAAGTAAGCTCCTGGGTCCTCTAGGGTGGACCCTTGCAGTGGGACTGCTGAAGGCCCATGAATGCCAGGAAGCTCGTGGAGCTGGAAAGAAAGAGCCAGATGGGGCTGTTTCCCTCATGTGCTCACTGTGCCCTGTGGAAGTGGTCCAGGGCCGTCTCCTGCCAGGAAGCAGTCTGTCAGACTGCTAACATTTTGCTGCAAGCCCAGGAGGAGGTGGGGCCAGCCTGTGGCCCCAGCCAGCTCTCTGCGTAAGAAACAACACCTTCCTCCTCCAAATTACCTTCATTCCTCCAAATACTCTTACTTTCTGTGGCACCCAGGAGGTGAGGGCCGCAGGGAGACAGTCGAGCACCCATCTCCTGTGGACTTCTCTGCCCACCTGGGAAACCCAGACTCCCAGCCAGGCTGTGCCACATGGCTGGACCCTGCCCGCCATCTTGCCTTGCTTCTTCCTGCCTTGCATGCCCTGCTGTCCGAAGGTGGTAGACTGTCTTGTTCCACCTTCCACGCTCGGGCCTATCTGAGCTGCCACAGTCACTTCTGACAACAAGCTTCAGTGCTGAGTCACAGCTGTATCGGGTGTATTGATCATTTCAAAGAACCAGCTTTAGCATTCATTGGGATTCTCTATTTCTCATTTGTAATCCCTTTGTTGCTGCAAGTTGTAGTAAAGCAAATCCTCATTTACACGTGAGGTAGTTTGGAGACCATTTCCCCAGCCATAAGTAACTGTTTTCACAGGCCACAAAGCCCGTGGGTGACAGCTTCCAAGTCCCAGGCGCAAATGCCTGCCGCTTGTGGGAGATAGGCTTTCTGCAAGCGTGTGGAACATCCTAGTTACACATGACCCCTTCAGATTGTGCCTGAGACCGGGTTAGGAAAATCAGCAGGGAGTCTTTGTCAGTGAGTGCATCGTTTGAGGGGCCTGGGCACCTGGATGCGGTCATCGGTGCCAGCTCTGAAGCATTTAGGAAATGACCGAGCTCTTGAGATGCTCGGTCCGGAGTGGTCAGGAGCAGCCTAGGAAGTGGGTGTTATTCTTGTGAAATAGAAAGTGCCGGAACAGAAGCATCCCGTGAGATGACTGACTGTGGTTTTCTTTCTCCTTCGCCAACCTTTGCTGCAGTCTTGCTTCTGGCCACACTACTGCCCTGCTACCTTCCAGCTGCTTGAGATCCTCCAGCTTGACTCCCTGTCTGTTCACGGGCCGGGTGGAGCTTCCAGCCTGGACTAGACCCCCATGGATCCACCCCCGAAACAGAGCCCGGCGCTGGCTGCGGACGCCACCCAGACATCCACGGCAGAGACTTCAGGGGACGGCCGTGCCGCCTGTCAGCCCCCCTCCACAGAGCAGCTCGTGAGGGGCCTGGGGAAGCTGCTCCCCAGAGCCGGGCCCGGCCTCCCTGCGCCGCTCCCAGAGGGGCTGCTCCAGCAGCAGTACAGGGAGGGCAAGACCCCCCCGCAGAGGCAGTGGGACAGGCTGCCAGTCTCCCAGAGGAAGACGGCATTCCTGGGGCACCTGAGACGCAGGCACCGTGACCACATGGCACCTTACCCGGTCGCTAGGGAGAACAGAGTCTCTCCGTCAGGTGACAGAGCTCAGAATCGATTCCGCTGCGAATGTCGGTACTGCCAGAACAATGACACGAGTGTGTCTGGGCTGTGCAGGGAGAGGAGCGGGGCCTCGTGGGAGACCCTGGTGCAGGGCCTCAGTGGCTTGAGCCTCAGCCTGGGGAGCAGCCAGCCTGGCCACCTGCCCCAAGGGGCCCTCCAGCAGCAGCAGCTGGAGCAAGAGGAGAAATGCCAGCTCGAGAGGCATCAGGAAAGCAAGAGAATGTTCCACAGGCTGCTGAAGCAGTGGTTGGATGAGAAGTGAGGCTCCCAGGGCGGGCACCTGCAGGAATCCAGGCAGGGATGCTGTCCTGCCATTCCTGGGTGTGGGTCCCACGGGGGACCAAGCGATTTGGGGCTGCCATGGGAGGGGACCAAGACCTGTGTTTGGTCTGGAAATCCCACGAGCATGTGCTGAGATCTAGTCCCGGCAAAGGGCCGTGTCGGGCCTGTCATTTGTGGACGCCCTGAGGTGTTAGTGAAGGGCACTGCGTGCCGGCGGCCCCGCCTCCTGGGTTCTGACCCCCATGATGCATGTGTCACATTCCTGCTCGCGGTCTCTGTCTGCCCTGCCTCCTTTGTCACCCAGGCAGAAGGTGTCTGGGTAGTGTGACTGCCTTGTTGATGTGCCTGCGCTGTGCTGTGTTATCCGCTGCCTGCCGGGAGCACCGCTAGATCTGTTGCCGTGCAGTGTTATGCTGAGGTGCACGTTCAAGATCTGGAGCTAAGCAAGGCACAGGAAGGGAAGTGTAATTGAACTTGCTGGTCTGCTGGTCCCCCATTGTGTGGTCGTGTACACTTGGATGAGTTGAATGTGAGCAAACCTCTCCCTGCTCCTTAACCTTCGAGCAGTATTTGCCCTCGTGGGAATTTCTGTTGGCCTGTGTCACAGTCAATACTAAATAAATAGAATGCAGCTTTCTCTGTCAATGCCGGCTCGCGTCTTCTTAGACCTGAGACTGCCACGGAGTCCCCACCGGACCTCAGCAGGTGTCAGTGGGTCTGTGCCAAGTGGATTTTGCAACAAGGAGGAGGGCAGCACCTGTCGGCGCACAGTCCGGACATGCTCTGAGGCCCAGCTGCGGGACCGGCGTGCTGAGCTGTGAGGCAGTGCCCGGGAAGCGTCCTGCCATGGCGGGGTGGGAGGCAGAATCCACCCTTCCCTTTAGAAGACCCTGCGGGCTGGCACTGCGGACCTGCCCAGGCCCACACGGCCACCCTGGAAGCCTGGCACATGGAAGTGGCGGCCGGGAGCAGCAGTGCCGTGGCTGCTTCGCGAGAAGCAGAGCTTTGATGCTCTGAGGAAGGTGTTGGGCGTTGGACTGGTAGCTTGGAGTCTCAGGAGGTGGGATGACCTCTTGCTTTTCTTCCCCTACAGAGTCCTGCCATGTGTCCCCACTGGGTGGCCACGCCATTCCTCTGAAATAATTCTGCTTTGTGTCAGTGTGTGTTTTTAGGTGGGTCCCTGAGCTGCGCGGCTTCCCAACATCTGCGCCTCCAGCCGACACAAGGCGCCCGAGGACAGGTGAGTTCTCCGACATGCTGAACTTGGGTGTCTGCTGAGAGCTCCAGGGTGAAGTGCTCCCAACTGCAGGGCACAGGGCACTGCCGGGGGATGTCATGTCCGGAACTCTGGGGTGCAGTGCAAATGGGCTTACCTGGCACTCATAGCCAGGCTGCAAGACACTGTGCTGTCTCTGACATGTCCTGGGCTTCCCGGTGTGTGGGGTCACTGCCTTGCACGTGTGAGCTCCTTGAGTCCACATTCCCCGCCCCACTCGTCACTTGCCCTCTCACCACAAGAAATTGGCAGGCAAAGGCCAGAGCAGTGAGCAGACTGCCCGGGTTTGCACAGGTGGAACAGGCACACAAAGGCCACAGTGGAGGCCAGCCTGGGCCCCAGCTAGCCTCTGTCAGGACTGCCAGGGCAGGACGGCCAGCCAGTGAGGAAAGCGAGCGGAGCACCCGGTCCTTAACCCTGCTAGGTCAGATGCCTAGCCATGCCAAGAGGCACATTAGAGGAACGGCAATGGGAGGCAAACCTTCAGAGATGGGAAAGAGATCGGTAGTTGCCTGGCCTTCCAGGTAGTCCTAGGGATGGACCACTGGTGAGTACCAGGGTCTTTTTGCAGGGAGAGACTGTTCCAAAGCCAGACTCTGGCAGGTGCACAGCTGTAAATTTTCTATATCGCTGTATCGCATCCTTTAGCTACATGAATAGTAAGACGTGGCCATTATACCTCCAGTAAAGCTGCTTTTCTACTGTACTGCCCATGTGAAAAAAGGCATGAATAGGAAGGTGTGGAATTGTTTTCTGTGACAGTAAAGAATCTCCCCTCTCTTTGAGCGTTCTTGGTCCTGCCTACATTTCCGGCATCCTCCATGTGTACTTGAAGCTGCAGCCAGACACAGCCACTTGCACATCTGGGCAGCAGGCATACTGGTGAGTGCTCTGTCTCTATGTATGTCGTGTGTGCATGGACAATTGCAAGTCGCCACCCTTCCACTTCCCGTTGTGGTTCCATGCCAGGCTCCGGGACCCCATCCTGCATCCTCTATGCCCGTACATGTTTATCTATTCAGGAACCCAAGGACCAGGCTTCAGTTGCCATGGAAACCAACCTCAGCTTAGCTTCCACCTCTGTACACAGGAGGACATCAGAGTGGGAAGGGATGTTCTCAACCCAGAGGGGCCCGCCTGAGCTCAGTCACCCAGTGGGAAAACAGCAGAAAAACAGTATGGTTTCCAAGACAACCAAATTCCAGATGCCTGGGCTCCATGAGGCCGCCTCCCTCCCCTTGGCCACCTGGGAAATGGGCAGTTGTGACATGAACACAGCCCTGAGCCCTGGAAATGATTCCTAACATGGCTGTACAAGATAATTAAGTCAAAGACAGTTCTTGAAAGAAAAGGCACCTAATGCAAAATGTTCAGATGCAAAACAACAAACCGTTAAAAATGGAAAATAGCGCTTTTAAATTTTTTAAAATATTTGTGACATAGGTATGGGAGTTGCACACCCATTGAAGCCTCTGAGTGGGATGGAGAGGAATGAGGGTGGGGGAGGAGGTGGGTAAGAGGACAGACCCCACCCTCCCTCCTGTGACAGTGGAGGGGGCGGGCAGGAAGGGGAGGGATGTTGTAAAACTCCTTGCTGCCAGATCCCATCAGCGCCAGAGGACACAGCCGGACCCCAGTGTCATCCCAGAAACCCTGAAGCGGGGAAGGATGTCTGAGGATGTTACTTGAGTAGTCTTGATTGTTCTTAGATGATGTTGGATTGGTTGTAGCAGAGTGAGATGCCACTTCGCATGTGTCCATGGCCTTAGGTGGCCTTAGGTGCTTGCTGAAGCACTTGGCCTGTGGTGTTTTTCAACCTGCTTTGTTTCCATCATTTGGTGAGATGTCCAGGGTCCTCTGTTGAATCAGAAAGACCAGCTCTCCTGTTGTTCATGTACATCCCAGTGTTGCCTACTCCTGCACACAGTCAGTCCTGCAACGTGTGGACAGGGCCAGACCATACCTCAATGTGCTATTCCTTAAGGTTGAGGATCAGGTGGACTGGCCTGTCAGGATGACCCAAAACCCCATGACAGGCCCACTCCATGTCCTGGCTCTTTCACAGGCCAGTAGGTACCGCGACTTGGAGCAGCCTACACCCTGCCCAGCTTGTGGGCTGGCAGGTGCTACTGCCTAGTCAGGAGATCCCTAAGAATCCCAGTCGAAGGCCTAGTGGCTAAATCCTCACTTTGCAACTGCCGGCATTTCATATGGGTGCCGGTTCGTGTCCTGGCTTCTCCACTTCCTTCCAGCTCCTGTTTGTGGCCTGGGAAAGCAGCAGAGGGTGGCCCAAATCCTTGGGCCCCTATTCTCCCAAGAGGGACCCAAAAGAAGTTGCTGGCTCCTGGATTTGTATCGGCTCAGCTCCAGCTGTTGTGGCCACATGGGTAGTGAACCAGTGGATGGAAGAGCTTTCTGTCTGTAAAATCTGCCTATCAAATAAAGAATAATAAAATACATCTTAACAAATGAATCCCCCAGGTCCTCCCACAGACCCAGCATTACACAAGCTGTTGGACATTGTGGCCTAGTAGGGAGACCCCTCAGTACCACCACTGGTCCCCCTCCCTACCCAGCTCTTCAGTGCACCTGCAGGTTCTGGGGCCTAACGCAGGCCACGCCTCCTGACCCAACTCCCAAATGCACCAGTGGATGTTGTGACTCAGTCATGGAGACCCCAAGGTCTCCTTCTAGGCCTGTCCTTAATGCCAGCTCTCTGAGGACCATGAGCTGTTGTGACCTGCTCTGGTCCACCCCAAGCCCCAGTATTCCTGTACACCTGTGGGTGTACAGTACACCTGTGGGCATAATGGCTAGGCCCAGGAAGATCTCAACTGGCTCACCATCAGGCCCCGCTCTCCTGTGTGTCTGTGAATCAGAGGGTGTAGTGGTCGGTCGGGAATGCCCCCTAGGAACCCTCATCAGACCTGCTCCCTCCCAGCTCTCTGTTGCTAGTGGGTGTGTTGGTCTAGCCAGTGGAAGCCCCTGGCATTCGTTATGACCATGTCAAACAAGCCTCCAGTGGCCCCTGTTCTGGCACAGCACTGCTCTGTGAAGCAGGGCCTAGCCTTTCACCAGCCCTACTATGGTGCGCAGATCAGGGGGAGGCTTCCACTGGCAGTGGTGTTCAAAGGCTAGAAAATGGCATTTTAAATCAAGAAAAGTTAACCCTCAGCCTCTCTTTGTGCTTCAGAACTGGCCTGTGCGTGAATTGGCCACTGTATGTTTCTGAAGGACAGATGCAGGGGTGCCATCTGCAGAAATGTGGAGACCAGGAATGGGGCCCGAAAGTGCAGTGGTTTTCAACTCCACCTGGGACACCTGGGTCTCAGCTGAGGGCATGGAGCCGCCCTGCCAGGGCGCCCCTCCTTGACACCATCCACAGACTTGTCACTGCACCACCGTGCTAGAGACTCTGCAGATCCCAGTGGGGATGCTAAAAGCCTGCCCTTGCTGATGTGCTGAGGGACAAGGCCATAGCATGAGGAATGCCGGAAAGACTAACACTCCACATACCCTCCTTGCCACACCCCCATGGAGACAGTCCCCCAACACCTTGCTTCCTGAGCTGTTTGGTCAGAACTGGAGTCTCGGAGTTTCTGAATGACATTGTGCTCCTCTGGTCCCAAGGCTTTGGACCACCCTGTACTGCTTTCCCAGGCAACAAGTAGGATGCTGGATAGGAAGTGGAGCAGGCAGGACCCGAACCAGCGCTCAAGTGGGATTCCTGCACTTAAGTTGAGGGTTTAGTTCCCAGGGACTTTCACAGCACATGACAGTGTCATTTTCAAGGTGGGGGACACCCACGGTCCCCTCCTCACAGTGTGTAGTGAGACCAGCACAGACACAACCTCTGCTCACGACCCATTTGGAGGATCTACCAGGCAGGAAGGCCTCACAAGAGACTTTCCACATGCCTCTGGCTGCGTGGAAAGTAGAAAAAGAAGGTGGGGGAGCTTGTTTATTTTTGTTGCCAAGACAGATCTGCAGAGAGAGGAGAGGCAAAACTTCCATCCACTGCTTCCCTCTCCACACAGCCCGGCAGCCAGAGATGAGCTGATCCAAAGCCAGGAGCCAGGAGCTTCTTCCAGGTTTCCCACGTGGGTGCAGGGTCCCAAGGCTTTGGGCCGTCCTCCACTGCTTTCCCAGGCCACAGGCAGGGAGCTGGATGGGAAGTTGGAGCAGGTGGGGCATGAACCAGCGCTCTGTGAGATCTTAGCGCTTAAGGAGGGAGGATAAGCCAACTGAGCTATTGTTCCTGCCCCTGTGTGGCAGTGTTGACTGGCCTTTTCCAGAATGTTCTAGGGGCACTCATGCAGTGCTGAGGACACCCCGTGGGCATCCTTAGTTCTCTGCTTTCAGCAATCCTGTGCGTGGCAGTGCCTACCCATGACAGACAAAACAACTTGTGGTTTTGGAGGGCTTGGGGAATCTGAGTGCAGATGCTCCCAAGCCCTGGCGTGGGGGGGCGCTGTGGCTATGCTGAGATGTCCCAGGTCCAGTGGTGTTGTGGGAGGCCATCAGCATGCAGGGCACAAGGATGAAGTCCCCTGTGTTGGGAAAAGGCCCGGGGTCTGAGGTGGTCAACCAGGATCGTGGGTAGCTTGGGCAAGCTCAGGGCAAGGAAGCCAGGAAGAAACAAGGTTTCAGAAGAGCACCAAGGGCAGGGACCCAGGTAGAGCCCTGGTCAGCTCAGAACTGAGAGCATGGTAAAGGCAGCGCTCTCCATCCCAAACAGCAGGGGCATGAGGCCTTGGCAGTGCGAGACGACCTGTGCATTGAGCTGGGAATGCTCCCTGCAGGTGGGGTATGCTGGGGACTTAGAGCAGGAGGGAGAGGGAACCACATGAGCCCTGTCCTGCAGTCCACACTGGCAGGAACCCTGGAGAGAAAGGGGTCACAGTGGCGGCATGCTAGAAGCAGTGGGCCTTGCACTCTTCATTTCCTGTTCCTCTAAAACTCCTGGAAAGCACCAGCTGCAGGTGCTAGCACCTGGGGGGGTCCTGAGCAGGGGCGACTGCACGCACAGAGGGAGCCAGGGTGAACGTCACGGGGATTCCTGGCAGCTGAGAATGACGGAGCAGGGCGGCCGGTGGGGTCCCAGGAAGGTTGGAGCATCGCTGTGGCCCGCAGTGCTGAGGTGGACCCGCGGTGGGCTGTGTGGTGTGTGGTGCAGAGGGGTGGGGAGACAGCCCATCGCCCACAGAGAAGGCCTAGATGGTTGCTGTGAGCAAATCCATGGTTGAGTGACCTCACAATGGAGTGCAGTCTGCTGATAGATGCAGGAAGGCCTGGTGCAGGCGATGGCGTGCATGAGCAGGCTGGTGGTGAGGGCGGTGGAAATGGGGGCTAGTGCTTGAGGCTGAGACCGGGTCCTCATCCCCGTGTCCTGGACTGCTCTGCAGATGGTGTGTCTGGCCTAAACAGGGGGCTCCAGCCAGGACTGTGGAAGCCCCAAGGGAACTGTCAGTACCAGAACGGGGTTCCTTGTCTGTGGCCCAGGCAAGGACGGGATTCGAGTCTCTGGCCAAGGAAGCCCTGGTCAAGAGTGGGGCCTCCCTGAGTCCTATCTGGGGACAAGGAGGCAGTGCTTGTAGGCCCTTGTGGGGAGGAGCAGAGGCTGAGGCCTGAGACCTGTGATCAGAGCTCCCTGTGGATGTGGCCTCTGCGGAGCTGGGAGCCACAGCCTGAGCCCACGCAGGGCCAGAAGGGGGTGCACATGCCCTAGTGCGTGAGACAGGGAGTGCAGGGAGCTGTGTGCCTCTGGAGATGCAGAAGGAATGTCAGCTTTCCGCAGCCCCGTGGCCCTGCACACGCACTGGGAAGGCAGACGGGGGCAGAGCCATATGGACAGAGTGCAGAGAACACAGGGTCACCTGGGCCCTAAGACTGCGCATGTCTGATGGTTCATGTGTCCCCTCTGACTAATCCGGTCCCGTGGGGGTCTGTCCCCATAGAGTGTGGACAGTAGTGGGAAGAGCAGTGGGGTGGTGTGCACCCTGGGTTACTACTGCAGTCCCGTGAGTGGAGTGGTCCACTGCACTAAATCCTTCATGAGCCCCAGGGAACAGGCTCATGCAGGGTTTCTTCCCTGCCACTTTGCCTTTCCGGGAAGAAAGCAGGTTGCATGAGGCTCTCGGGTGCCCCTGTGATGCAGGAGGGGTTCACACTGTGATGGTGCCAGCACCTCAGTGGTCTCTAAGGAACAGTTCCCCTTGTTTCCCCGGGTCCCGCCATGATGCTGCCCTGCGTGCTCATGTCCGGCAGGTGCACCTCACATTTTGTCCTTCTTGGTGTGGTTAGAATGGCACGTGCGCTAGCTGACTCAGCCTCAGCCGCCCTGTGCTGGTGTCTGCAGCCCCTCTAGGTCCAGGTCTCATCCTGCATCCTCCCCTGCCCAGGGCGGTGCTCTGCACAGCCTCGGCTGTGCCTCAGCTGCACCTCACCTAGCCCTCACCAGTTAGGGGCCCTTGTGCAGGTGGGAGCCTATCTCTTGAATCAGTGGCTGTCCACAATCCTGCCTCAGGAAGGCAGCCCCTGGGACTCCCCTACCACACAGCAGGAACCACAGACTCCTCCAGATGGCTAGGAGGGGGCTTCAGCAGTTCATGGGAAAACAAAGTTGGTGATAGGATTATGTGAGTGCAAACAATACTGCAGGTTATGCATAGCTTTCTCATTCTGCATATTGCTGGTGAGCTTTGGAAGAGCCAACACACACTCTTGCCCACGGGGGTGCTGTTTTTTCTCCAAACTGAATGGCCCTCAGTCTCCAACATGTGGGAGTCCAATGCTGTGTGGGGCTCAGGACCA